CTTCAGTTCGGAGAATCAGTTAATTACTGCAATTAGGTGTTCTGTTTGTTTGTGGTCCCTTCTTAATGCTGAAGACATTGGCCAGGGGAGGCCATGCGCGGAAAAAGAACGGACCTGTTTGGCTGTGGAGCTCTTTCGTTCGACTCTCAGAAAGGGGGCGCATTTCCCGTAGACCAAAAAAGAGAGACCGACCCTCCAACATCAGGACGACGTCAGAGTAGACCTGCACGCAGACCCCAAGTGCTGGGGACCTCACGATCACGATGTCCAGCACCAAGAGACAAGCAAAAGTGAGTGGTCGCAGATGTAGGCTGCCCAGAGAGGGGGCGAATGTTCCAAGTAAGAGTTGCGTCCGATGCCAAATTTTGTTTGATGCGGCTATCAGGCAAAGATGTTCTGGCTATGTTGCCGCCATTGATATATAAAGGATATTTGATTCACTGTTTGGAGCTTTGACCTCACGGCCTCACCACGTCCACCAGATCACCATTCTTTGACATCCTGTTTTTCTTGATGTCCTTCTGATTGAGTTTTTGTTGTAGCTCTGAATGCCGGTCAGTGAGGTTGAATCTTGATGAAACAATTTTGCTGCTGGAATAAAGAGATCCCAAGCCAATCTTAAGTACAGAAGAGACGAACACACACCAAAGACCTTTTAGAAGGAGGTATTCCTCCTCAAGCTTAGAGACAGACTTCACTTTGCAGTGAGTGGCATCATGTATTGTATCAGAATCATGTGTCTCTCCGGGTGGGTCGGAAAAGCATCAAGAAACTGTGACTCCAGGTATGATTCCAACGTGGAAGAATTCTTGAAGCGTTTGTATTTGTCGACTTCTATGGCGACCAGCGAGATCAAGGCGGAGAGAAGTCGACCACTTTTCCGCGACGCGGGCGAAGTGGGTGGAGATCAAATTCTTGGGATGAACCAAAGATCCGATGTTCTCGAAGAAGAACAACCCATTCAAAACCTAGGGAACTTCTTGCCAGCTTTGGCTCATTACCTCTTTTTTTGGTGAAACGGAAGGGGATACATTGTTTGGTGACGTCCAACAATTTCTCAGTCCAGAGCCTTCTTGTAGGCCTGAGGGCCTTCCTAGATATCATAAGTGTATATTCCCCAGTTGAGCACATCACAAGCATAGTCGTGAGAATTTGCCCCAATTGAAGAGAACGGTAGCTTCTAGATTTATGTGATTCATGGCGTAGGGTCCTGTTCATGGCCCCTTCGGGTTTTCCTCATTTGAGCGACTCTTTTTGTATGACTGCAGGAATAAGTACCAGGGAAGTTGACAGTCGAAGACAGAAGCCCATGAGTTGATGGGAGGAATATGGGTCTCGCAAGCTACTTCTGCATTGTCCATTTTGTCCACGACATTCTTGTGTTCGTCACCCCTTGAGCCCCAGCTTGCGGCCGGTCCAAGTGAAAGCTGATGTCGTACTGACCCTGAGTTGCGATTGGAACCTATTCTTTGGGGCAAATCACTTGGATATGAGCCGACGCTATAGAAACTATGAGCCGGTTCACACCCTGGCTTGTTCATCTTGTCTTTGATGTCAAGGCTTGAGGTCTGGACTTTGACCCCAAACCTATAGATCATAGATCGCCTTTTACTACTGGATTCCTGGATACTATTTTTTGTGGTTGATGAATAGAGGGGATCCCTCCAAGTGAACAACCAGGTATTTGGTACGGTTACATTTACCAAATCAAGTCCTGTATTGTTTCCCAAACGACATCATTGTGCAAACCCTCCGTAGATATCTCTTCTCCACCAAAAGCTCTGCTCCTGCCACCTGTGCTGCACGTGTCAAGCTCCACTCTACCCAAGAGAAGTTAGTCCATTGGCGTGGAGGATATGGCATCTATGATGCGACCTTCCAGTTGCGGGTTGAAGACCTTGGTGTTTTTTTTCCAGCTGGTCGAAATTCCGACTTCGAGGCCTTTCCAGCCCAAGCACCACGCGTACGTGATCCCAAAAGATCCGCTGGTGGCATGTTGGAGTCTCGGCGAATTTCGCCGCCCGAGAGGCCTCGAACTCGTTCTTCCCAACCCGAAAGGTAAATAAATCATAAACGCCTCTTGCTACTAGTAGCGATGCCCTTGTTACTAGTAGCTTCTTGTTCCTAGTAGAAATGCCAGGAGCTACTAGTAGCTTCTTGCGTAGCTTCTTGCTAGAAAGGGAGCAAACCAGTGTTTTCCATGCCGAAGATGTGGTTTCAATGTGAGGATTTCCCTGTAGAAATTCGGTCGCTTTTTGAGATCCAATCCCGAGGTGTTCTACCTTAGAACGTAGGAGTCCTGGAATGGAGCGTGACTTCTAAGGAACGCTTACCATCTTTCAACCAGCTGCCTTCCTGGCTGCCACGAGCTGCTGGGCTAAACTCTCCTGCTGCGGAGTCTTCATGCAGAAAAGGAAACCTGGTCCGTTGGAACTGGTAATTGGAGTTCAATGTTAATTTGTATGTGATCTTCAGCCTCAGGATCCATGAACCATGTTTGCTGCAAGTGGTATTGCAATAGGTATTATTCTATAGCAACAGTTTGGCTTTCGGTCGGTCACTCAAATCCTTGCCAACCTTGCTTTCATCGAGCCGCTGCCTGATGCGATCCACAAGACTTCGGGAGACCGACCATGTTTTCTTCTCGTTCGCCGCTGCGGCTTGCCTCTAACGATGGACTTGTCCACTTCTTGGAGCTTCCGGCCAGAATCAGGATTCATCAATTTCTCCTTTCCACCTGGCCACGCCCTGTCTTACGCGATCGCCTTCTTCTTCTTCTTTCTCGCCTGTCGCGTGGAGCGCCTTTGCTCACATCTCAGGCAGCGCTGGAGCGCTTCGTGAAGGCCTTTGAGGCTTCTGGATTCCGTGGTGGAGTGAACTACTACAGGTGCCGCGCGCGCCGCGGAAGAGAACGCGGACCACCTAACACACGGTCTTCTCGCTGTGGATGACCGGCTCCGCTGAGCCTTTCCACCACTCCTCCCTTTCAAGAGCTGGAGTATTTGGGTTTTCGTTCTGGAACCTGCGGAATTGACGGTCAGTGTTCCATTTTTCAGTCGTTGTCAATCCCTATCTATTCTTGGTGCAAGCTTGGGGTGAGCTGGAAATCAATGTAGTATACATACTAATACATATCCACAAGATTTCTCTTGTGCAAGTACGCCTTTATCACAAGCAGGTTTCCCTTGGTTGAGAATAATTAGACCTTCCTTCTCCAGCTTAAAGTTCTTAGTGTGCAAGAATGTCATTCTCCTTGTGGAAGTTTTTGTTCTGTGTTCCAGGTGTTTCCATTCTTTGGTAACCGGTTTGACCTTTGTTGACATAAAGCCCTTAAAAAGCCATAAAAGCTGTGTGCTTAACAATGAATTTCATTGTGTTGAACCATGTTCACTTCAGACAGATTAAACTGTATATGTTTTATTGAAAACTTTTGGGTGAAGAGCTGTTCTTGCACAAGGGCTTCAATTCTTCTTACAATGATTTGTCTCCTTCATGATAACGTTTTTCTTGTTAGGCTTTATGCCATCATATGAAAAGACTTCCTGTATCATAGTTTACGCTCTTTATGTAGGCCTGGATTGATTTAAAGATATTTAAAGTTCTAAACCAACTTAGCCCGTTCCTTTCCCAAATCTCTTCCATTGAGTTGTAAAAGTCTTGCAGCTCGACAAAGTGTCCTCGACTGCAAGAGTCTCATTTTGTTGTCACACCCCATCCTTACGACAGTCTGTTTAGTGGTGCCATTCGATGCCCACAAAATCATCCCAGCAAAGCAGCTTCAAAGCCAGCAGAAAAACCAGCTTCAATACCAGTTCAAGTTGAGTTTGGTAGATGTGTATTATATATAGCATTATATTGTATATAATTAGTTAATAACAAAACATGCCGTTTCAAGGTTGTAATCATGCTCAAAATCGACAAAAAGACACCGTGTCTTTTTGCTTTCTCACCTCGCCACAAAATTTGCCGTTTTCCGCCTTGTCAGAGAATAGATCCAGTTTTGGGCAAAGACTCCATGAAGGCAGTTTTTCCTGAAGAGGGAATCCATGATTTGTGACGTTTTAGAAGATTCAGATATATTCATGTTGGACTGCTGCAACCTTGGGCTTGGTTCACCCCAGCTTCTCCGGTTTGATGCCGAAGTCTGTGTGGTTGGTTTGGGCTTTTCATTGCTTTCCGCCCTTCACTTCAGGTGCTTGAACAGGAACTGGGAGCTACTTGGTTGGGAGAACTCCTAGAGGTTTCCGCAGAAATTTGTTCCAAGTGAAAGCTACTTGGAAGGGATCCGGTCCAACGAGGGCTCTTCCGAAGGGGTGACGGAAGGCGTGATCGACTCGACCATGCAGATGATTTGATCATTTGATCATTTGATCCTTCCCAGATGCTCCAAACTGCCCAACTGACTCCAGACTTCTCCAAAAGCATTTGGGTCCGATCCCTCATAGGATTCGGGTCCAGGGTCGCGTTTGGGTTTCAACTGTAACAACAACCAGGTGTCCAAGGGAAAACTGTCGCGAGCACCGGGCACAACGGCTTGAGCTGCCTGGAGTATCCAGTTTTTTCCCTGAGATTACAGGGAGCTCTTCCGAGCAACCACAGGAGTTCCTGGAAAACCTCTTGCTAGGATAAGCCATACTTTTTGGTTCACTCTAAAGTTTCTGTTTGTATGATGGTTTTTCCACAACGAAATTTCAACAACAAGAGATTCTTCAGATGTTCAAGATCATGTAATATTTCAGGTTGATGATCTATAATCTATATTCGATATAATGAATCTATATATATATACATATAATATGATAGTTCTACACTGGATATCATAAGTCTTGTTACGTTTGGGAGCTCCAAGCTGTTTCCATCTCAGTTCTTTGCAGTTCGCCTTGCCAAACCCCGCCCTGCAAGAGATCGATGGCCTTCGGCACGAAGGGATGGGACGATCGTTCGGTTTATTTGACACTTGCATCTCCAAGCTATTGGCCATTTGGGCTCATTTGTGTGTGTATTAGAATCTAGAATAGGCACAGAAAGTTTAAAATAGACCTGTCATTGGGCCAGGTCGTCTCCCTGTTGACATACACACCCCTATGGCTGCACAGGGCATGGCCAGGTCGGCGCTGTCCTGTTTGTGCGTTGAACGACGGGTGGATCGGTGGACGAGTGAGGAAGACAAAGGCCGCCTTTGAGAAGTCGGGGCGCAAGATCAAGCAGCCCACCTTCTTCATTGCAGGCGCCCCGAAAGCATGTGAGAGGAGCTTTTTTGGGGCTACAGTTGACTGGTCTAGAGCCTAGAGTCTAGGCGTTTAGAGTTGGTTACTATGAATGCATGGCAGATACATGCAGATACCTATTAAATATGGATTCAACATGATTCAACTGTTAAGCTTGGCCTTTGGCCTTGGGCCCCCGAGAATCTGTGGGTCAGTTGTAACTGAGGATCACACGTACGAGATCGTACGGGTACTGTGTTCAGCTTGTTGTGCGTTGGATCAAGTTTAGAAACATCAGGAAAGATCGCAGAATGCAGAGTAGGGACGAAAAGGAGTGTTTCAGTTTGCTACTAGTAACAAGGGCATCGCCACTAGCAACAAGTGCTAGTTTCAGCTTGCTTGGACGTGGTGAGCACCTCCACACCGCCCCTGCAAATCGGACTTTTCCGCATGGCCTTTGTGGCTTTCTTCAAAGGTGAGCTGGACATGGTGATCAGGACCTATGGCGGGACGGAGGCGGCGGAAAGCATGGTCTCCAAGGCGTGGATCTTGGTCATGGGAAGGATGGGCGAAGTGATGCCTCTAGGGCTCCAACCACATTAGAAGGTGGTTAGACCAGGTTAGACCCCCCAAAGCCCACCCAACCACCGTCTCAGGAGGTAGTTGGAGCCCTAGGGTATTCATGCCAAGGGTGATGATTTGTCACCTCGGAACGGTTATGTTTTTAGTTGCTTATGTTTCTATTGAACAACATGCAAGCTGATTTTGCCATGGGATCGACAGATGATTGCAGGGTTGTCTCCATGGGAAGTGTATGGGTGTAGGCTCAAAGGATCTCAGAAGTGGGTACACGCCGACATGCCCCTCGGCCCCTCGAATCAAACGGTACACAAAGGATCACAAAACATACCAATGTTCGACTGTCTACTACGAAAGGGAAGGACTGAATGACCATTGCGCTGCCAGCCATTACCTCACGGCCCTCGATATCCCTCGATCTGCGGCGCGGCGCCATGTGCGACGCCAGGTTTGCAGCGACTTAAAGGGATGTCACTTCATTCCCGACTGCGGACATTGGAATACCCAGGAGAAACCTCAGGCGCGGCCACTCGTGATGGGCAGGGGCATACCTGCGGAGAGCTGTTTTAGGTAGGAATCATCAACTTTCATGAGAGAGAGGGATGGAGAAGTCACAGCGCGTCAAGAACCGGGGACCTCAAACTATCGGTTTTTCCATGCGCTCAAGAAGCTCCAACTACGCGGGATACGAAAAGCAGATGCAGACGCTGCAGTTGCTTGACTTTGAATCAGAGCCAATGTAGCAGCAGCCCATTAGCACATTCCCTTTGGTTCAGATGCTTCAGCATCATATGGAATACCTCAAGGACCTAAAGTTCTAAAGTCAATGCAACGGATTCGTGGAGTTGTCTAGCTTGACGGAGGCGGCTTGACTTGGCTGGGGCTGAGAGAATCACCGCTCAAAGAATTCCCAGCGAGTGATGCAAAGCCGGCAATGCCGATTAGATGGAGTAGCCCAGGGGGCAACATGTTGTTTACACTGATCTTAATGAGAATTGGTCAGCCATCCTGGTCGGAATTTTCTCAGTTTATTCACATGGTTCTACGAGTCTATGAGGGGATACAACGTACCTTATCACATCCTCCATCAAACAGCTGGCCATGCCTGGCAACTTCTTTCAGGATGCGCAAGCTGGCTTGAGAGGAGGTTTATCCCCCCAGTGGATCCAGTTACATGGGTTTCAAAGTAGATGGCGCAACCCCCAATATGTCTTTTAGAAGGAGGTCCATGCCAACCACCTTTGGGGGCTGTGGCATCTAACTCTCAACCCCATATACCAGTACTGGTATTATGGTATAACACTGTAGACTGAACAGAACCGAACGGTTTCTGGATCCATGTTTCGCCACAAATTCTGACTGTATAGTCCATCGGACTGCTGACCTGGAGTCCTTGCGCGACCGGTGGGTTTGCTTGGGATTTGTTCAAGACAAATCCAAGCAACTGATCCATATGCTGATGGGCTGGGGTCGTTCTGCTTATCTTAGAGGTCTCGCACCAAGTTTGGCATGCCTTGATTCATGTTCAGTTTCATGTTCATCTTTGTCCATGATCCACCCAGCAAGCCCAAAGTTGCCAACATGTGCCATCCATTCAAAGATTAATGATTATAATATTGACACGCCTTCTTTTTGCATGTGTTTTTGTTAAAAAAATGTCTTTCAGCACCAACCAGACAGCTCCCAGGAGACCAGCACTGCCTTGATCCGCTTCTTGGACCAGACTGCGGCAAGCGAGCCGAAAGGTCAGGAGGGGGGCAGACACCTCCAAGAATGGGTAGGATTGACAGCTGGCGAAGAAAACGGGAGCTGCACTTGCAGTGGAATGACTACAAGTTTCCGACATGTAGGAAACTGATATATGGACGACCTTTTGAAGCCAAACAGGAAGGTCTAATGTATGAATCAACCGTAACATACTGTAACCCATTTTAAAGCCGGGGTTTAGGCCGGTAGAGGTAGTAGCTAGAGGTAGCTGGTACCTACAAAGTAAGCTACTACTTAGGGCGCAGGATAGCTCACGCTTCTTCAAGGAAGCTCCGTTCGCCTGAGGGCGGGGGGAGCTTCGTTGAAGAAGCCCTCGCACTATTCATTCGGTTCCTAGATTTTTAGGGAGACTCAACCCAGTACCTTTTTGTGGGATGATGTAGTGTTTGAGGGTTTTCGAGACTCAATGTGGGATCGGACTGTTTCAGCATCCTTCACCCAGAAGTCCTGGGTAAGTTGACCATTTGTTGTGATTTCTTCACGGCTTTGACAACTGTTGTCGGTGCAAACATCTGTTTCTATCTCCAGCAGTTCCATGTCGGGGTGCCCAACGAACGGAGTGTACCCACTCAGTGCCATGGGGTCTGAAAAAAGATGCTTTTAAAAAGTGCCAACTCCATGGAAGTCCTACATCTTAGGTATATCTTGAGTTCTATCATCCTGGAGAGTGGGAGATGATCATCGAATCATCTACAAGCTCGCGCAAAAGACCCCGCCATTAGGTCGTCTTCCCCCCAAAAAGAACGTGCCCCTTGTTGACGGCCGGCATTGCGGATATAAGCAGATGACAGTGCTTCAAGATGTGATGATGCTTTCAGATGTCAAATATCACATAAATACTTCTCCCGATCTCAACATTGGTTGATTAAACGCATTGGCACCGTGTTCAGACCGAACATCCGCACCTCCGGATGGCAAGAGTGGACGTGAGAAGGGTCTCTGGACGCCGGACGCAGGTGCACGACGGAGTCGCCTCTGAGATGTGCCGGTCACACCGCGTCTGGCCGTGGACCAAAGCGGCGAGTGGAAGATCCGTGCCTTGAGTGACTCCCGTGGCTGGGGTGCAAATGGAGATGTCCCTATAGGTCAGCAACTGACCTCATGCAAAGCTGGAGGTCATACAAAATACAATCTTACTGAGAAGTTCAGGACCAGGTTTGGACCTGGTTAGACTGAACTTGTAGGAAAGCCCAGGAAGTGCCCCCGGCCCTCTCGTTGAGCCATTCCGCAGGACACCCAAGCATCGCCTGCGTTGGCCAACGCCACGGCGCTGCGAAAGCCGGGGGTTCCGTCTGCCTCTGCCGCCAGGCGCCGGAAGGGATTTGGGTGGGGGCCGGCTGTTTGTTTGTTTGGTTGGTTGGTTGGTTGGTTGGTTGTTTGGTGTGTGTGTGTGTGTGCCTGTATCCTTTGGAGTCACAGGGAACCTTGCGGTTATTTTCAAGCAGGGGGATGGAGAGGACGTATGAGGCTCCATCCAACGAAGCTCCTCGTACGCTCCTAGGATATCACCAGGGACACCTCATGACGTACCTGCTTCGTGATGACTTCTCATTTCCCACTGGGCCCCGTTCATAACTAGAACAAGCTGACCAGCCTTTGGTTCTGTTATGCACTTGGCAGTCACGCACTTTGTCGCTTTCAGCCTTCGAGAACATTTTTTGAGAACTTTGTGTACTTTGAGATCTTTGGGATTCATGGAGGCTTTCATGATCAGACCGCTTTACCGTGGCATTCCGTACGCAATATCGAGAGTGTGAGTGTGCGGGTGGGCCCCGGAAGGGCCCAGAAGCGCAGCTTGGCACAAGGGCTGGTGCAACAAGTGCAGAAGCCATTGCCAAGCAGGCTGCCTCCGAGGCCGCGAATGAGATCCACTCACGCTGGCTCTGGCAGTTTCAGAGGCCGATGAACAGGCCAAGAAGTCCAGATGCGTATAACAAGGACAGTGCAGGTGCGGCTCTGGGCAAGCCAAATGGGTGTTGGCAGAGCGGAAACATCGTCAATGGAAGCATTTCATCAAGAGACTTCCCATTCCTTTCCTGGCACACCCCGCCTTCCACACCACAACACAACGCTGGCTTACACACCTCACACGCCCCCACTTCGACCAAGTCATTCCTTTCCACCTGCCACATGCCACTTACGAGAAGCAGCTCACAAAACACTTTGGTCCAGACTCTACAACCACAAACACTGGGAACAACACTTGCCAACCCGCCCGCTGCCTCTGACCTCCCATGCGGCTGCTCCACCATGCGCACACTCCCACTACGCTCGTACCACATGTTGCTGTTTGCCTGCCTGCCGGTGCTTGCTGCTCTGCTGCTTTGCTGCTGCTGCTGCTGCTGCTGTTGCTGCCTGCTGCTGTTTGTTTTTGCTTGCTGCTTTGCTGCTGCTGGCTTGCCGATGTTGCTGCTTCTGGTTTGCTGCTTTGCTGCTGCTGGCTTGCGGGTGTTGCTGCTTCTGGTTTGCTGCTCGGCTGCTACTGTTGCTGCGCTACCCCCGTTTTCTCAAGTTTCATTTCCTGCTTGGAATGCAAAACACATGTGGAAAGACAAAGGCCCTGAAAAAAATAGGGGACTTCGTAACTTGACCATGGCACCACCACAGATATGAGAGGTGTTAATATGTTGGGTTTCACACCTGATATGATATGTCACGAATGATATTTTTTAAAGAGACCCTGAACCAACTCCTTAGGTTTCATGGTTCTTCATGGGACCAAGTGAGCTGCCCTTTGTTCGCCAGGCCTGCAGGTGGGACCAAGAACCTGAGCCACTCGGCCGAGTGGATGGCTCTGGACTGGTCTAGGACTTCTGATTTTCGAGGGGGGTTGGAGAATTGACGACAGGCCAGGTCTTCCAGGAGGAACAGGATTTCTACAGCAAACACCGGTTGCAACATCCAATTCTACCTACAGGATACTTTGAAAATCTTTCAAACATTGGTCCCTACATGTCCCTAGAAACCAGATGTACCAACCTGAAGGCCAGAGTATTGGAGAAGTTTGAACAATACTCAGTTCGTGGACAGTTGTTCTGTAGCCTTTGGAAAACTGGTATGTTTGGGAGAAATGGGAATCGCTTGGTATGGAATCTCCCAGTCCTTCTCTTATTTTGGAGGTTCGAAGGTGAGATTGAGACATAAACTAGACGTGCGCCGTGAAGACGGCCGTTGGAGTCACCAATTTGAACTTAATTCTCAAAATGGGTTTCGCAACACTGCCAGGTATTGCTGGGCTAGCACAGCTGGGTCAAGGTTTGTCCGCCTTGAGCGCTCTTCAGCCACCTTCGCCCGGCGCCCGAGGTAAACCCACATCCAGCGACCAATCGACCCAGGTAGGGTAGATCAGTTCCAGAAACGCATGCAACGGCATTGATTTGGGTTCACTTAAACGGTCATTAAGTGAGAAGAAGTGAGAGATTTGTTGACACTAGAATAACAACCCCCCTCATGAAGAGGTTGCTCAATCCAAATGGTGGGATGATTCATCAACGGTTTACAATTAAGTGAGGTGGGCCTTCAAGATCGATTGCGTTTGAACGAGATCGTTCCCACAGAGCCATGAAGTCTTACCCATCGCATCCATTCTGCCGTTCATTTTTCGGACATGAAAGGTGCTTTTGGTTCCAACAAGTGCATGCCACCACCAGGGATTCTCATGAGGCCTTTTGCTCCGAAGAGGGTCGGAAATTCCTGAGGCCTACAAGGATGAAGGCTTTGTCCCACATAAAAAGACAGACACTATATAATGAGATTTTGAGCCTGCCAATGTCATCCTGCTACAATGTAGTCTGACAGTTATCAGTCTAATTACAATTTCATTTAATTTAATGTGTGTCTTTGGGTGCTCCTGAATTTTGAGAGGCATGCAGTGATGGCCGATGGTGAGAGCCTTCGCACATGGGGGCCAGAGAGGTACAGAGGGGCCCTTGGAATCAATTGGGTGGTTTGGAGTTGAGAACTACCTCGGAGTAAGCATAGGACATTCCTTGGACTCCTGGGCAGCTTCTTTGCTCTCCAACGGAGCCAACTGGTTGCACAGCAGTCCTCCAGCTTGAATCGTCTATATAACTGTCCCTCCAGTCTATTCGGTTGTTTCCTCAGCACATTCATTCCTCCCTACCCCTTGCTTCCGGACAGGTCAAAACTGCGAACATGTTCCTGCGGTCTTGGTATTTCGATCAATCTTCCTATAAGAATGCCCTTGTCAAACCTCCTGCTCCATAAGCACCTGCAAGTACAGTATTTATTTTGTCGAAGGACGTTGTTCCGTTATACTGTTCTCAAGTGGGGCAGCACCCCTTTTCTTTTGGAGTTCACGTGGATGGGGTGATAAAACATGCCTCCGAGTCTCCTGAAGCTTTCTCTTTTCTAAGGGATCTAGACCATGGTTCTTCACAGTGACCTTTTGACCCCCAAGTTTGAGGTCACAAAGGAGCCCGTAAAACATCACTGGTCGGGACTCCAAAAAGGTCACGTACTGAAGAAGCTGGTAGACCAGGGTCATTTTCCTCAGTATCGGTGCATGCTAGCGGAACACAGAGAATTGCTGCGAAACCACGCTCATCCTCGCGCTCGGTCGTCTCCGTTGGCAGGGCAGTCGCTACCGGACTTCGCCCTTGAGACCCCTGCATCCTTTTTGAGGAAAGTAACATATCATAGATCACCTGTGGGGAAAAATTTGGGGTTTCCCCACCAAAAAACAGACGATCGAATAAAGTAGTAACAAGTGCCACGCTAGTAGTAACAGGTGCCTTACTAGTAGTAACAAGAAGCTATGTTCCACGGATTTCCGGAACATGGTCGGTCTCACACCCCGACACGTCTAGAACATGGGTCTCCAGTTGCACTAGTCAGCCGGCAATTTTTAGTTTAACAATCGAACAACCAACATGTGGCCACACTTTCTGAAAACATGCAGGCAATTCTGAAGCAACATAATTACTGTAGATTACTAGTAATTATCAGTCCTGGGTTGACGAGCCCCACTGACATGGTTGTTCTCAACATATCTCAACCACTTGATCGACATATGAGTCCAGGTGAATCAGTAGACAAAAAGTTTAGAGTATAAGTTTCACCTCACCACATGAGCTAAGAATGACAGCAGCCAACAACCACACATTCCAGCCTAAGCTCCGAAGAGAAAGAGCTCAGCTGTGTCTTCGCTCAGCTGTCCCCTCCGTCCTTCCCAACGAGTCCCCATGGCGACGACGACTGCATGCATCGACGGCCTGGAGAACGTGATCGCAGACTCTTGGACAGCTTTCAGATTCCGTGCCGCATGCGGTCAACATTGCCCATTACTTGTAGGATCTTGTAGGTAACCAGAAAACAAGAAACCATATAAGGAAAAATTGACATCTCTTTTGTTGTTGTTACTTGTGGGACTTGTGGGTACATGGACTATAAGATCTATAGTTGCTCAGTTACTCTGTTTGCTGTAAGATCCCAGTAGCAACGCGGTGCGGAAAGCGGAAGCTGGAACCCGATGATCCCTGTGATCCGGTCCCACAAACGGTTTAGCCTACCCTGTTTTCAAAGTGGACAACCTTCCATTTTGTTTAAAGGGGGACACGGAAAGTCTAAGGTATGCTGAAGACTTGGGACTTCTGTTTGGACTACGCTGCTTAATTTGTGGTGTTGTTTTCTTGTCTCTTAGAAGCTCTTGTTCACTATCTGTCCTGAGTGAGGCCATCACGAGATATGGCTTCAGTGGTTGCGAACTGGTGGAAAGCTCGATTCACCTTTATGTTCCAGGGATGTCCGGCTTGGGGGTCAGACACAGAATCTCTCTCCCCAGTCAGTACTGGCATGATCTCTGATGCATTTTTACTTTAGGGAGTTGTGGATCTCATCACACTACCCAGGAAAAAATGCGGATCACTTTGGGAGTTCTGGGTCTCACCCATTTCTCTCCCAGAACGTGCGTGGATCACCTGGATCGGTCACCTTTTGTGAGAGTTGGGGATTTCCCCAAAAGCGAACAGGTGGGAGGTTCGGTTCACCTTGACCTTTCTCAGGGATTTCTGGCTCGAGCGTCAGGAATTGGCTGGATGGGCTTGCAGCGGTGAGTAAGCGGGAGTTCACTAGGTGGTGTGAAAATTCAGATGCTTTTGGCTTCTTTGAGAACGTTTGTTTCATGTTGCAGAAGATCTCAAGACTCAAGACCAGAGAATTTGCATGGCCTCAAGACTTGGCATAAGGACTTAGTTAGAGCAGGCTGAAGGCCAGCTTTTGGATGCTTTTGGTGTGCGTCTCCAGATACGATTACGATTTCAAGCACCAGGGTGTTTGTAAACTACACCCGATGCTTCCAAATGTATCTGGGGGGTGCAGCGCGGTACATGTTGTGTTGTTCCGTGCCACTACTGTTGGTTTGAATGCTTCTTCGGAGATCGAGGAATGCACTGCCCTGAGAGCATTGATCGAGTATCTATAGATTCCCATTCATACTTCTACTACTTGATGCTCGGTAAATCCTGGAGGCGAGCAATGTAGCTAAGTTGGCAACCGATTCAATCCAAGGAGGCTTACTGTATTGCACGAATGATCTACTACCAATGGCTACAAGTCCCAAAATCATGTAAGCCAGCTGGCATGTTTTTTGCGTTGTGCTTGTGTATGTGTGTTTGTTCTAATGACTTTCCCCAACATCACCATTCGCAATTCTAAAGCTTCTAAGTTGGATGGTGAGTCTCCCCTGACCGCACTGTCAGCGCATTGCACTTGAGGAGCTGCCAGACCGGTGCCTTCGCTTGTGCGTGCTGGGCGGGACTTCCATCCAAAGGACCGCGCTCCATCCGCTTCCTTTTCACCCGAAATGTACCTCCCGTTTCGGTGTGGCGAATTGGCCTCTCGTTGATCAGAAATATGATGAAATATGATACGAAACATGGAAGCCATGTTTCTTGTCCTCATTCTCACAGCCAGACTCGCCTTCATGGGCTTCCATCCATCGCTCCATGTCGACTCGACTGCAGGTCGGAGACGGAGCAGCTGGCGGGCGCCATTGCCAAGGCTTTGGCTCAGTTGGAGGAGCCCCCTGTGGTTTTTACCGAGGGAATGCCAGGCCCCTTTGTTCAATGCTGCACGCCTGGCGCTGGGTCACCGGGCCGGCACGGGCGGCCATGCAAGAGTTGGGAGAGTCCAAGCTCTTCTAAGCCAATGAGTGAAATGAGCCATAGGGAGGGGCCTACAGTCCCTTTTTTTGGATGGCAAACAGCTGGATTTCATCACTCGCATCGTTTAGAGAAGTGTTCAAGTTCCTGGCCTGCAAACGCTGGCCTATCCTGGCCTGGTGGGTCCTTGCTCTCTTTGGTTAGACAGGCTGAGAACATATGAGAACCTTTGAAAACCGAAGCTGTGTCCTCATTTTGATCGAAAGGATGTTTGGATTCGGTATTCATAGTGTAAGTGGTGTTGTCAGGGACACTTATAAACATCCCGTCCTTTCATCTTATCTTGAGAAAGTTTTGCACCAAGACTTCATTGGAAGTCGGTCCGCTCTTTCTCTGGCTTGCCGAAACCTCGAGGAGGTAAGGGTCGACAGTTCAAGGGGTGAAGCGCTCCTCACTCTCAACGCAGGGAGGTACTCTCAGGGTGCAAAAGTCAGATGAGCTTTGATGTCATGGGACTGAAACCTGCACGTGCCGCATGTGGTCAACATTGCCCTTACTGGTGGAATGGGCTCATAAGATCTATATACCGATACCCCTTTTGGTATTGAAAATCCGTGTGAGTAGATCCACTGAGTGCTTCTAAAGGAAAGTATCCCGGGAAACCACCAAGGGTGAAGACGTGATCCGGTCCGTTCAAGCATCACAAACGGCTTGGCCGACCCAGGGATAAGCTCTTACCTGTGGTGGGGATTGGGGACACCCCACTCAAATCCAACAGGTGCGGCTCTGTTAGAGACCACTAACTCATGATCCTCCACGAGTGGTGTTTTTGAACTCAAGGAATCTCAAGGATGCACACAATTCTCGGGATTGCTTGGGGTTTTGATTCGTTGATCCAGAGAGCCATAGAGAGCGGCTAAATGCAGCCGCCGAGGCGTTCAGCAAGCCTTTATGCGGCAGAGTGAAGGACAGCAGTGGAAACTGGAATGTGTTACCATGTGACTTCAAGTCAACAATGAATCATTCTGACCATGTTCCTACCTGACATTGGAGTGTTTTCTATTTGTGTGTGTAGCTGTTGACAATTGATTGTGGTGTGCGGGTGGGGCCACCTTTGAGCGAAGCCAGTCAAGGTGTGAACAGTGCAATGGCCTCCAACCTACTAGCGATGGCCTCCAACCTACTAGACAAACGGTGGAATGACCTGCCATCCATTCGCATCAATCCGTCCATTCGCATCAATCCATGCGGAACAGATGTGTGGGTGCGATGTGTTGTGCTGGTTTCCGTGGGACATTCCTGGTGCGGCACCGACAGTGCTTCTGATGCCAGGTCTAATCCTCAGTCAACCCAATCCAGGCAGTTCCCACGAGTGATCGCTGGTGGGTGTCCCAGTGGTTCACCCACTCTTCCCGGCCAAGGGGGGCGGCTCCGCGGCCGCGTCGACGCGTCGATGTGGTGCGTTGGTCGGTGACAGGGAGGCGGTTGGGCTGCCGCGTTGAAGATGTGCTTCAATATGTTTCTAATACCAACAGACATATTGAGGTGCAGAAAAAGTAGGCTCACTCCATGCTCCATGGCTTAAAAGTCAAATATCAATCAATCTCAGCCATGTTGAAATAAAAAAATCATGTAAATAGTCATCGCGAGCCGCACCAAGATCTATTGGACTGGCGACCTACAAAGGTTGTGGATGGTCAAACCATGTATCCAGATGAACTGATGAACTGCGGCAGGTAGAGATTTCCAGAATTTCCTACATCCCAAAGGATCTATGGGGTGTGCTAGTCACGTACCGGGGCTCTGCCTAGGACGGCCCGGGGGCCATCGATATGCTCAGGAGACCCCATGGGCCCTGGGGATCAAACCTTGAGGGCCCGAGGGTCCGAGCATGGTCTTGATGAGATGCAGGTTCTCTCACTCAAGGATGGTGAGACCACTGGATCCAGGACATCTCAGAACCACCTCAATCATGAAAAACTGTTGCCCATGTGTTTTCAAACCTTAAGGTTCTTTCCAATCATGTTGCGACATGTCCCAAGCCCAGAGCCGAGTGGGTTTCGACGACCCGAAGTTGGTTTGGAGCCTTTTGGATAAAAGTGTCCATGCTGACTATTTCTACCAGGAGCAAGAACACTATATCCATACATAGAGACTGCTATTCACGATCAAGATGAGGATTGGATGTCTCTCGACCCGCCCAACTCGAGGACTGCAGATGGTTCACTTGGTGCCCATCGGACAGGCGCTTCTACCGCGCACGCGACGCCGTGCCCAAACAGTTTTCTGTTTCCACCTGAGCTACGACATCACCGTCTAGTAGAATCCCGAACATACTTGATGGATTTTGATGCTTTATATGTAATCCCCACTGGTCATCATCCAGGTCTGAGAGTGCCATATGGTGCCATGCTCACCTGTTCACAACTAACACTTCGCTCCACACGTCGCTTGTCAATGACAACCTGTCCGCACCCGCTGCGCCCGCTTCCCGCTCGCTCCAAGCGGAAGCCAAAGAATTCAACTGGAGGGATCGGACAAAACAGTCGAATTGGTCGGTGTTGTTTCCTAGTAGTAACAAGTGCCTCGCTAGTAGTAACAGGTGCCTTACTAGTAGTAACAAAGAGGCTATTAGAATTAACTTAAAATAGATTTAATAGCTTCTTGTTACTACTAATAAGGCACTTGTTCCTAGTAGCGTGGCACTTGTTACTTAATAAGGCACTTGAGGTCGTTTTTTGTTTGACTCCATTCGGGGAGCTACTGTAGTTTGGAGCCTTTTTGATGTTCATCATGGTTGTTCTACGAGCCTGTTGATGCGTTTGTTTCCTATACCCGCAAACTCTTTTCGATTGGACCCACTTCTTCAAGCACACGGACATGTGAATTCGCTCAAAAACGTTCTGTCGAGTCTCTGAGCATGAGAAGCTTTATGAACTTTCAACAAAAGTTCACAACATTGGGTGAGCTTGAAATAGCTTGAACACTTCTAGAGTCCTACCCAGTGAGGGGACAACCTTTATGAACAGATGGGAGAAAGGTTTAACGGTGAACCTGTTTAACCTATTTCTTCGTTCGGGAAACTGAGGGAGTCAGGAGTTGCTCACGACCCGACCCTGGGGTAGAGGACGCTACGAAGGGAGCGGTCAGGGCATCGCTACGAACGGAGCAAGGACGCTACGTTCGGGGCTCCTGGCCTTATTACTAGGAACAAGGACGCTACTAGGAACAAGTGCATTACTTCTAGTAACAAGTGCCTTACTAGTAGTAACAAGAAGCTACCAAGGGCTCCTAGCCTTAATACTAGTAGCAAGAACGCTACGAGGAGCAAAGGTCGGGTATGTCTTCTCTCCGCGACCTCCCTTCGGAGGGTTCTTCCTCTTCGCTGGGGCAGCTCAAAGCGACGAAGCGACAGGCCTGCAGCTGGCCTGGCCGCGAGCTACTGGCGGGAAAGGACGTCAAGGAGCGCAAGGTAGCTGAAGAGCATGTGATGCAGATGTGTGTTTGTTTTTTCGGGTGTCGGAGGTTTCTTGTCTGAAGCCACGAAACTGGGGAATTTCTTGGCATTTTTACTGGATACCACTCCCTAAAATTCTGGTTTTGTGGTTAGCACCACCACCTGTTCGGTCTTCAGATGTCATGGTGATCCGAAATTTGGGGGGCCTGATGTTCCATCCACTTCCTCCATGATGGTCTGATGGATTTCAGAGTGTAGATGATATAAGTGCTCGAATCGTTTGAGCATGTTTGCCCACTTGAATCCACCGCTGCTCCGTAATTATGCAGATTTGGGGTCCCCCAAAGCAGGGGGACATGAGTGGACTCTGAAGAAATTGGTGTGTAGCCAAGATATAGTTTAAACATGTTTAAACTAGAAGGCTTTGCCCATGGGGGTGGGACTTCTTTAGGGCCGGCGCTGGGTTAGCTGGATTGGTTTCTTCAATATTATCCTTGTCTTTCGTGGTGTTTGGGTCCTGATTGCTGCTGTTTCGGGTGTAAGGCTAAGATGTTCAAGACATTTGTCCCTGGAGACTCTGTTGGTGCGGTGCCCTTGCAGGGGCGAATCCCGCGGTGCCCTTACAGCGCATGATAGCACAGAAGACCCAGAGCTTCCAAAGGGTTGAAAACTGGAAGTCCTTATGCTAACATCCCTGAGACTGTTCGTGTGATGTTGTTTGGAGATTTACTGACTTGGCTGTGGTCGGAAACCACAGCGGGCTTCAGATGACACTCCCGTAATAGAGACTACACTGCACAGTTCGGGTTTGGAGCCACCTCCACGCAACTTTTGGTTCTGTGATCCATGATTAAACCAACATCGTATGAAGTGGACATCCTGTGGACTGGACGTGAAAAAGAGAACCCGATCCCTTTGGGGGGTTTTCCGCGCCCGATTTGACCAGGCAATCTTCAGCCTGGTTGGCGATATCTATTTGGTCCTGGAAGGAGGGCCGAATGTCGCAGCACAAGTGTCTTGGAGTGTAAAGTCTCAAACGACGGGATGGATGGATGGATGGATGGATGGATGGATCGACGGGATGAACGGGGCTTTCACATATGTTTTCATAATATGTGTTCATCATGTGTAATCCATAAAGTCTCCACTTGACCCTCCTCATCATCAGGCCGGAGAAAGCATTATATATATAAATTAGCGTTTTGTTTGGGGTGTTAACTAGATGGGTGTATAGTTCCTAGACAACTTCCTCCATTAAAACTAGCCAGGCTCAATCATCCAAAGATCTTGTAATGTTCCCCAACCGTGTTCATTATGAACGGTCCAGACACTCTTTGACGAGCTGACACACATTGACAAATGCCACAGTACTGCCTAAATAGGACCTTGAGACACATTCTCTTTCCACGAGATGGCGTTTATCATTAGGTCCTAGGTATTCTTTACTTGCCTGTATCTTAAGAATGGTTCTTGCTCTTGCCAGGTTCATCCATCCCCACAGCAAGGGTTTTTTTTGAGCAAAGGAAGGACTGCAAACTGCAATCCATAACTACCAAGTGAAGAGGACTCAAGTCAACATTATTCTACCTTGAGCTATTCTCAGGGTGTTAAATCATGTTGCATAAAGGCTGCATCGTTTCTGGTCGAGGCTCAAATGTATCTTGCAAAGCTCCAGGAATATGTACAGTAGCATGGAAACAATTATGTGTTTGTGCACGCGCTGGCCTGAGTGGTTGGTTTCTCTCAGGGTGGTAGGTGGTTGGCATTTCGAATCATTTCCATCACTCTCGGCAATTCCGAGTAATTATCGATTCATGTTGCCAATCTCTGCAGATGGTTCCTGTGCGTTTCTCAAATATCTTCCCTCTTGGCGGAGCACTGTCACTAGCATAAGTGAAGGTATTCAACGCTGATGCCACAGCCCACCGTTCTTTCTATGGCAGTTTGCTTTCAGGTCCAGTCACTGCCGAAAAGCTGCAGCGAACGTGGACACTCCAGTTTGCTTTCTTGCTCTATGATGTCAAGCAAGAACCAGCTTTAGCAAGAAGATGGCCACTCCATGGTTGACCTAGAGTTCCTGTACCAGAGTTTCTTTTTCCTTTCGATCCATTTATAGCCTCAGAAGGTAGAGTACAACCCTCCAAGCCTCACAATCATCCCCACGCAGCTCAGATTTCTGGATCCCACTGACCCGGCGACCAATTCGACCCCACTGGATTGCGAAGCAGGTTTCACAGACCCTGCTTTTCCGGAATTCAGGGTTGCAAGCAACTCAGCGCTCTTCTGCTGGGTTGTTTAGTATGCAGTTCAAGTCAATTCAACAACTTTGATCTAAAATTCCAGATTGCCACTAGAAGTGGTGCTTACCTCAAAAGGACCGTTCTTTGTCGACCTCAGGTCAAGCCGGCCTTCCGCCGTGGTGCCCAGATCATCCCGGTCATGCGCACGGGTGGCGCGAGCAGTGGGCTCTTCCAGTTCCCTCAGGTGACACGTCGACAGACGGGAAGGCCACGGCAGAAGACCGAAGACGGTGGAGGCGGCACACAGTGTCGACCACGGAGAAGTCCTTGGGTGCCGAAGAAGTCCTGGTTGAGCGCTACTAAGAACAAGGACGCTACTAGTAGCTCCTGGCATCTACTATAGTAGCAAGAATGCTGCGCTGGAACAAAGGTGCAAAAGGACTTCTTTCTGCTTCATGGCCCCTGGAAAGCTGCGTAGATCTGCGTAGTCAGGAGTTTCATGTTGGTGAAGAAACAACATGGTGCAACACGGTGTGTTCCTCCTTGGACCATTTGCGACCATTTTGGGCTTATAATAGATTCCTGTGCTTCATCATCTTCATCGAAGCACGTGCTTCATCCGGCCAAGTGTGGCGGAAGCCTTCAGTGAGATTGGATGGCTTGCTCAAGGTCACCTCCATAAGAACGCACTCAGGATTATGCACAAAGTATCATACAGTATCAATAACTGTTTGCTGTTTCACTTAGAACCTTTAGACTCTTTAGACCTTTCTTTGTTCTTTCCTTCTTGCGTCCTTTCTTTTGTTTGAACCATTTCAGCTCAGGATAATTGGCAATAAAGGCAGATCTAGATGACAAGTGTCATCGCCGGCTTCATTGGGTTCGTCAGCGAAATCTATATAAATGAAATCCCTTAGATTCAGATATGGTGGTGCGTAGCTCGGAGTAGGTTCTGCAACAATCCAAGCTCCATTTAGTTTTGTTGAACAGTTGGATACGCAACTTGGGTACGCTGGGTATTCTCAGGGTGGAGGATTCGTTAATGCATAGCATTTGCATGCACTAGCAGAGTCACTAGCATGTATGGGAAAACTCCTGAGTATGCGTGGACCTTGAGCTGCTACGACTTGTGTTTACAATGACGTCAAATGTGCATGCACCCACCCAACCGGTCCGTGCCTAACTAGGTGAACCCGTGCTTTTTCCAGGACTCAAAACTGATGGGGGCTGCTGATAGATCGATTGCAAGCTGGACTGCTCTCCTTGGTTTTCCCTCAGGCTGCACTGCAAAAGCCTTCTTTTGCGGAGCACGCGCAGTGGGCCTTGCTGAAGGACAGCCGAATGGCACAGGATGCGGATGCGTTGAGGTTTAGTTCCACTCTCCAGACCATCCAGATACCTCTCATGACTAGTTGGCGGAGCATGTTGCTTTTTTGCAAGACCATGTACAGCGGTGAGTACCTACAAGACCATGTGCAGAGGTAGCTTCCGCCAGTGAACACCGGTCTGAGATCGATTCAGATCTTATTAGCTCAGAAATGATATTAGGACGTAAGACATCTACCTATCAACCCATATCAACCCATATCAACCCCTCTCTCTATATACATGATGAGAAAATTGGAATTGCAGGGTGGGAAGCGGCAAGTTTGCTTTCCATGATCATACAGCTGCACATGTTGTTTTTTTTCGTTCGAGTGGAGACTCGCTAATCATGGTGATTCTGACTCCTTTGGACTGGGAGCTACGGAAACTGTGTCTCTTGGTCTTTGAAAACTCCACCGGTTCACATGTCCGGCCGGGGCTGCCCAAGGTTCTGACAATTCTCCTGATCGGATGCCCAAGGTTCTGACATGTTTGATGTGTTTTTTGCATAATATGTTGGGAGCTCCAAGGATTACAGAAAAGCAGAAAGAGCAAACACGCACTTAGAACGAGAGCTCAAGTGAATGAGCATGACTTCAGACACTGGATCACGGAATGCATACGTGAATATGTGTGAATGTTCTTGAATCCAGGCTTGATCGTAGTCAGCGTGTGTGGAGAGGTGAATTGCAGCCCTCTTCGTTGGGCAATCGACTGCAATGTGGGATTGCCCCCTGCTGTGTTGATCTGGGTGCAAATGAACAAATATCAGAAGAATGCTCTAGTGTAAATTACAGCGGTGTGCAGCCCTTTGGAACAGGGGTTGGCACACACACACACACACAGAGAGCACGTCAAAGCCTTCATTCAGCTTGGGGCCTTGGGGCTTGCAATTTCTCCCATCTTGGGTTTTTTTTTCCTTCCATCGCGCGAAATCTGCGGAAAAAACAGGACAGTGAGGCCTCCATTCACTCCACTGCCTTGGCGGTGAAGGCGCTCGTGGCGCAGCTCATCGAGATGTTTCCCGAGGGATGCGGACGTGATCTCACACCGGAGGACGGTGGTCGACTCGGTCGACCGTTGCTTCACGGATTCCTTTGGATTTTGATAGAATCATGTGTGGCGATTCCATACTTGTTAACTCCGCTCCTTCGTTGGGAAATGCTATCAAGATCTATCAAGTATACTTTAATAAAGCAGTATACTTCTGTTGCTTTTGGGGCGTCAATGCAATACGCTCTATTAATCCAAATGTTTCGACGTTCAGCAAGGCCACGATGTAAGATTGCTGCATTTCGTGCTGAGTACCCCTGCAAAATTTGGAGGTTGTTCCGTTCGTCGATTGAAACGTTCACAGGGACAAAGGACGAGCAAGCGGCCCAAGCGGCCGCCCCCGCATGGTGAGGGATGATTTGGGTATGGTTGACTTGAGTATGAACCAACTTGTGTTGTAACAGTCTGAGGATGGTTCTAGTTTAGTGTTGATTTGTTTTTTAGAGGCACGTTTTGTTTGGTCCTTTCTCCATGCAGATTCGATGGAGCTGCAGGGAGACACCTGTCTCGAATCGTGTAGCCTGAAACAATTATACACTTTGGGACCAATTGGATTCTTTCCAAAAAGGGGCAAACAATGCAACAACCAGTTGACCGAACTTGTGAAAATGAAAATGACCGCCTTTCTGGCAGATCAGCGATTTCTGAAAGAATTCACTTGGCCGTGCCGTGTGAACTTCTCCGGCCTTGTCGACATGGGTCGATGAATCCTGAGGAGCCAGTGAGTCCCAGTGAGGAGAGTCAGAGTCCAGGATCCTCGAGCAAGCCGCTGCTACCCAAACGAGAACCTGAGGCAGCCCGATCAAGAAATCCATCGACATGCGCGGACCATCGATGGGCGTGCATGGGTGGGGATCCACCGGTCTCCGCCAGCCTAAAGAGGCCAGCTGTGCAGTTCTAACAGCCAAGTCATTAAGTCACTGTTCAGCCAAGAATCTTTGTCAAGTTGCGCTTAGTGTTGGAAAGAGCGCGTCGTGATGGTGGAAGAGTCGCTGTACTCGTGTTGGTCCAAAGATCCGGAAATCCTGGTCGCGCTGTTAGGGGTCATGCTTCATCATTGTTCCATCCCCAAATAGACTAATAAGATCTAATAAGTGAATATAAGTTCCATCAATATCTAAGCCATTCTAAGTTTAAGCCAATCCAACAGAACATCCATGTATGGTATATATACCAACATCGGGGTGGTTTCGGGGAGAAGCAGGCATATGCCATGCGGGTAGATCCAATCACTGAACACCGAACTGAACACCGAGGCCGTCACGCGGAGGGAGCCTCCTCCGCTCGCCGAGCTCAACGAGCTGCGGAGAGGCTCAGGCAATCCATCGAGCAAAGGGACATGAAAAAGCAGAATTAATGTAGAAACAAGTGCATCGCTACTAGTAACAAGTGCCTTACTAGTAGTAACAAGAAGCTTCTAGTAACAAGTGCATCGCTACTAGTAACAAGTGCCTTACTAGTAGTAACAAGAAGCTTCTAGTAACAAATGCATCGCTATTAGTAACAAGTGCCTTACTAGTAGTAATGTTCCAGCATCACCGAGTTCGGGTGGTGTACAGTAGACTCCCCCCTGACATATGTCTTTTCCGTTAGGTTGTGTTCATTTCAATAACCATCCTTTGGCATGTATTTATTATTTTGTGTTTTTCTTTTGTGCGTGTGTGTTTCGTTCTTTCTTTGTGTGTATTTTGCGTGGTGGGTAGGCAGTCTACTTCCTAAAGGTCTGAGACTCGGTCGAACCAACGGCAGACCCGATTAGCCTTGTGACCCTTATTGGGACCTGGCAGTTTGAGGTTTGCCGTTGCCTGGCTGGGAATGAAGTGTCGGTACTGGCACGATTGCAAGTTCACCCCAGCAATCTCATCAGCCTACCCAGAAAAGTGGATACACTCCCTGAAACAATCATGGTTACGTGGATGGCATGCGTTTGGAAAGATGACATCCTCTACAAGCTGAGACTTGTCCGCTTCCATGTTTGTTGGAGGGAGGGCAACCTATACTTTAACCTTGCGGGATTTGGGGACACCCCACTAAGCAAAGAGGCGGAAAGTGTGGGTTTCACCTCTATTTGCAGGAAAACGGCTTGGAGGTCGGTCACTGTTTTGTGGCTGCTCAAATGCTCCCGGTTCCGAAGCTCCTTGTAAGGATGCAGTTGGCAAGTGTCTGTTCAGTTTTGATGCAGTCTGCAGGATCTGGCGGAGAGGCTGCGATCAGCTCCAGGTTTGGACACCAGGGCCGTCTCAGAAGAATGACATCGGTTTGCACAAACATTGTGGAGTATTCACAAAGTGACAAAGAGCTATGTATATAGTATTAATATGTATGTAATTGTGTGGGGATCGTTTGAAGTTGCTTCCTTCAATCAGAGCTTGAGCAACACATCTCGCTCCTCGTGGATGTCAGCTTAAGAGTAGTAGACTATCACTTACGATGTCCTACGATACTCATCGGTGGCATGTACTTGACGTTTGCAATCAGAAGCTATTGATCTATTTGTTTCTAAAGGAGTGATGAGTGATGTTTGAAGATATATGTCAATGTTGTCTGCCAGTACCGACGTCAAAGAATTTCGCAAGGTGCAGGATTCCCGCCAAATAAGCTCTTCTTTGGGGGCAATACTCCACCTGTCAAAGGAAAACCCAGGCAAAATCCCAGCATTCACAACCATTCACACCGAAAATGGATGACACCTTGAAATTGTCTTTGCCTTTCACACGGACTTTTCGTCTTTGCAGGCCCCCAGTGGCCGAAGCCGAGCTCCGACCACCTCGCACGCCTCCGCGGCCGCGGACGCCGACGCGCACGGTGCCGCCCTTGGCGGCCAGTGAGCGGCAGCGGGCGGAGAGCAAGCGGCGCTCCGCACGGGATGAGTGGAACGTGCAGGAGATGGGGAGGGAAAGATGAGAATTGGAGGAGATACGTTGAGAGGATGTTCGGATCTTTTCGGGTGAGTTTTGGGATGGAATTGTTTCATCTTGAAGGAAGTGGTTTGGTTAAGGAGTTCAGAACGTGAGTTGCCATGTTTTCACTGACTGGCAGTCCTTCAGACCTTACAGTCTCGGTCAGAGGTCGCGCGCAACGTAAGATTCTCCACAACGGATGTTTGGATTGCGGATGACGGTTGCACATGCAGGGAAACAGGATTCCTGCTTTGAAAGTCAGTGGCCAATTTCGACCACGACTGGCCACGATTCCAACAAAAATGTAGCTGTTTGGACTGGAAGATGAGACCTATACTGAATGACTTTGCGCACATGATTAGCCCCTCTAAAGTCCCAAGATTTGTTGAGCGGTCGCAGACCTTTTTCGACCCAAAGACTAGAGCCTCCCAGGAGATCCTGCTGGACTGGGCGATCTCCCGGCATCCTGGACGCCAGGTGCGGCAGAGGTTTGATCTCCCAGCACCCTTGGCAGATGAGCCACTCGAATCAAAAACCCTAAGGTCCTAGGATTGATGGGTTTATCATGATTTCTGTAGTATTGTATTTGTATGTTTCATTCCTGAGCTGATTTGTACCCTCGGACAATTTACGAACGACCTTTCGGGTCACTGGGACCTGTAAGTTTGGTGCTCTTGGGGGGTTCATGTGACCTCAGGCGGTGTTGGTGTGGAGTTTTGATCTGCCAACAGGAATCCCTCGCCTCCAGTCAAGTGGCTCTCAAAACAGTCTGGTGTTCACGAGCAGAGCTCGCCTTCTCAGTGGATGAGCACAGGTGAGCAAAAAAAAGTCATTTAAAAAGGATAGCTCAGAGTCGTTGTGCCGGCCACACAGGTTCTGAGTCGTTATGCCGTCCAAACTGTCCTTGTAATTTTAGTCTCACTGGACAGTGGTGTTGGCATCACTGCTGCCCCGGTTTCACTACCATAAATAGACAAAAACAAAAAACATCGGATGGTGAAAGGGATGAATGGTGCATGATAGGGTGGGTTTCACATGGGGGAGCTGAAGCACCGAACCTCCTCCGCTCTTGAGGAGGTTTATCTCCCCGAGAGTCACCAGAGCGACAGTTGGATGAGACAACGAGAGACAGTTGGGCAATCCAGACTTGGTCTATTCACAGTAAGTGGTGGATGTGCACATGTGGAAATGGTGACTCATTGGGATAGATTAGGATCAATATGGAACAATTTTTCCCAGTACAATTTATTGAACTTCCTTGTGCCACCATCTTTGGAAATTTTCGAGCTTTCCACTTTTGCATACTTTTGCCAATATCAGTCCATTGGATGGCAAACCGTTTGCATTTCATTTGCCACTGGTCTTCGCATGAGGTCCTCCATGCAACATGTTTGTCTTGTGTTGGCAAGCCAGCCAAGGGCGGAATTTCGGCATTACTTCAACCTGATTTTTCCATCCTTGGAAATCCAACTGTGGGACGATAATGAGGAGGACCAAGAGTGGCTTGGATTGAACTCCAACTAAACTTCATTGGACGTAGATTCATGATGTTTCACGGTTTTAGGTACAGGGGTGGCCTTCAGGTTGCTTCTCAGTTTTCTTGGGTGTATTCAAGGGAAGGTTCCCTGTTGTAGGGTAGACTACCGAACTTTTTCTTCGCTACGAAATGGGCACAAAGTGCCGGGCAGTGTAGCAGTACGTAGGTAAAGGCCATGGAAAAGAAGCGACTTTCACAGGCTGTCAACCTGAGATAGGACTCTGTTCCAGTAACAGAATATTCAGGTTAGAAATGCTTAGACAACCTTGGAAGCCTACGATCCTTGAGCGTGTTGGCTGTGTCTTGTTTCAGGGCTCTCCTTTGTAAGGTGCTCATGGACCAGATTTGCATCTCAACAATCAGCGAGCCAGGTGACAGGTGAGCAGGTAGCAGGGGGCTCCCGACACTATAGATCCAATACTTGATTTGCTTCGCCACAACTATGGATTCACACACTCGGAGCCACTAACATGGAAGTGAAGTTCATCACCTGTTTGGTATTTGGATTTCATGGTCATTTTCCAGTGGCCATTTCTATCCACTTCCATGATGATTTCAGGAAGTCACAAGTAATTATATATATATAGTATATACATATTTATATAATTAAGAACAATGATGATAACAATATTAAAAGTAATATATTATAATATAGAATCACGTGGTTGTACCATGCTGTACCCACTCAAAACAAGCAAAGAGAAGAGGCAAAGAGCTGTTGACACTTGGGCATGGCATCTGAACATGCACCTAGAATGAGGCAACTCCCCAACGAACTGTCAGTGGCCGCTTTAGAAACCATCGGATCTGCCTTATTTTCCCTTCACCAAGCGACACCAAAAAAGATCTAGGAACAAGAAGCTACTAGGGGCTCCTGGCATCGCTACTAGGAGCAAGGATGCTACTAGGGCTCCTGGCCTTACTACTAGGAACAAGAAGCTACTAGGGGCTCCTGGCATCGCTACTAGGACCAGGAGCAAGGATGCTACTAGGGGCTCAAACGGACACGAGTCCTTGGGCAAACTCTCCACCAAACCCCTCCGCGACACCGAGGCCTGCAGCGCAGCAGCTTCTCATGGCCTTCCGTTCTGCGGACCGCGACGGTGACGGCTTTGTGAGTGTTCGAGACGTGGCCGGAGAAAGAGCACGGCCGTTTGGACTGCGCAGGGGTGGTTTTTGGCAGGTGGAAATACCAAGAGATTGGATCAAAAGCACCATGAGTATCAGAAGAGAGCTTTCACCATCTGAAACACCCCCATATTATACATGCTCAGTGTGATCAAGATTGACCACAGCATGTGTTGGTATCGTTTTTGGTTGTTGCTGTTGCTGCTGTTGTTGCTGTTGTTGCTGTTGCTGCTGTTGCTGCTGTTGCTGTTTGCTGTTGCTGTTGCTGTTGTTGCTGCTGTTGTTGTTGTTGTTGTTGGTCGTTTAAGATTTCAGGACAAGACTTGTCACATATGTCATGTGTTCTCCATTGAGGAGAACTACACTATGGGATACAATGTGCTTACGGTGACTTCGCTTAAAGAAGTGGGTGGCGGGCTGATGCACGACGCTTTGCTGAAGACACCTTCAGCACCCGGAGCCGAAGTCAGATGGAATCAATCTGGAACCTCCAGGAATGCATGAAATGACCAGAACGTGTGTCTTATCGCGTCGAATTTGTCAAGAGTAGCGCACCGGAGCATTCCCTAAGACGACTATTTGTTTGTTTGTGGCTAAGTATGGCCCAAGCCTGTTGCTTTGCCTTGCGCAGGCACAGACCAGTTGGGACATGCTTTGCAGTTGTATGGTATCACTGTAGCAACATTCCAATGAATTTGTGGGTAACTTTCCGATATCGGGTGCTATGTTCACAGGTACTGGCACTCATGTCGTGAAGAATGACAAGCAATTCTCAAACCTGCAGGGTTTGGGTTGCTCCAAAAGAAGACACCCCTTGTAGTGTGTCCACAAAGGAAATTGGCAAACAAAACTCAACAGTGAAGGGTTTGAGCCCATCTTGACCAAACTCGTGTCAATTCGATTCGTCGATCCCGTTGTTTGTTCAGGGAGAGTCCAACCTAGAAGCTGGTCGCTCTCCGTCGACCAACCTGTTTTCTTTCAATTCTTGTGTTCTTGTTTGTTTCTCTTAGAAAAGCCTTTAGACCTTTCTTCTGTTTCTTCTTTCCCTTGTCTCTTGTCTTTGCGTTTTCTTGTTTGGACCATAGATAGATAGATAGATAGAGACCTTTCTTTGGTTCCTTTTCTTTCGTTCTTTTCTTTCTTCCTTTCTTCTTTGACCTTCGCGTGGTGGTCGTTTTTGTTTACCAGAAATGCCAGAACAATCAACAAGTCTAAATTTGCTGCTTGAACCTTGATATGCAGTGGTGGTTCATGTCCCTCTCTCTCTCTCTCTTTCACTCGGATTTCGTCTTCGGGCAGTGCTGGCAGTTATGGTTGATGTTTTACCTTTGATTAACTCTGCGAACCATTGGCACGTCCTGCCCAACATGCATTGTGGTCGGTCATGCCTGCCTTCCCTTGTTACCTCTTAAACCTGAGACCATTGGAGTCCTGTCTTCAGAATGAAGAACATTTTCCAAGGTGAGAGGTCCTCGGGGTACGTTGCTTGAGTATGGCGCATCCTTGTTCTTCTCCAGACTCCGGTTGACGAACTGGGATACGGACAGCTGACCTGTGAAGAGTCCATCGCACGAGAAGCATTTCCATACAAAAGGCACTCACCGGTGAGTGCACCCAAGTCATCAGTGCAGCAGCAGCAGCAGCAGCAGCAGTCGGTGTGGCCGACAGTTGCGCCGCCGCCTCAATCAAGTGCTGAGGCGTTGTCCAAGGCCCACAGGGCCCTTTGAGAGAGGCAGAACTCCAATGACGTCAGAGGTGGCTCAACGGTTATGCCCAGGTGTGCTGATGCCGGAGACACTCCTGAGGCATTCAGAGGCTGCCGCGACCTCCTATTGAATGAGGTTGACCAGAGACATGGTCGAAGGTAGACTTCAAACCGGCGTCAGAAAGCAACGTTTGCCACCCAGTGAAGCGCTCCGCCGGACCATTCTTGGTGTGGAACAACATTGCCGTGGCTTTTAATTGCATCGTTTAGTTGCCATGAACACCAGGCACCCTGTAGTCCCCCATGTTCTGCAGGCACCACGTGCAACATACTACTTTTTGCTCTGCATGTGGCAGTTCTCAGCAGCCACAAACTTTTGCGTAACATAGGTGACACTCGTCCAATGGCAACAACCCAACTGCATGTGAGTCTGATCCACATATTGCTGCCATCCGTTCACTGTCAAATCATTCCAAAAAGGAAATACGGATCGCCAGAAACGTCAACATGACCGACCCAGGCCGGTGGATCTGCGACTCGTCGCCCGAACTTAGAGGCATGAACTAGCGCAGTGATGCAGCGGTTTCTCCATGTTTCTTCCCGAATCTCACTTAGCTTTGCAGAAGATCAAGGCGACAACTGTAGAGAAGAACCCTAGAGAGGTATGGGATTTGAATACGGATCCTTCAAGGTGTTGCCGAACCCATTTGACTGCAGCGTTTGGACCGGACTCTAGATTGCTGGATGGAGACGGATGTGACAGCAAAATCAGTGAGCAGAGATGGTGAAGTTGGAGGTGCGCCATAGGAGTGTCTCAAAAGTTCTCAACTTCACCTTGCACAACTGGTTCGTTATTGTATGACATCTTCTCCCATCGTATGTTTATTTTCGCAGAATTTTGCGGATATCCTTTGCTGAGAAACATCCAGCCCCAAAAGTGCAAGTTTGCGGGTCAAGGTCACCGCGTAAATACATTTAATGGTGCTGAAACGTGGCTGAGAACGTGGGTCAAAGCGTGTCCAGCGAACATCCTCGAAGGCTTTGTTCTTATACTCTTGCGGTTCTGATCAAGGTGATCGACTTGTTCTTCAGAAGTTTGCCTTTTCATGTGTTGCCTGAAATTCTAGCACCAAAAGCAAAAAAGTCAAGTGATCACTTGACCACCAATGACCACCACATCTTCTACTACCTCATGAGCGCAGGCACGCCACGCGGGCCCAACGCTTGAAGGGACAATGTGCTCAATAAAGCATCGTTGCAGGAGGGACCAGGGCCAGGGGGGTCGACGCAAAAGTTCATGACTGACGGTCCGAAATGAAAAGCAATCGCACTAGGAGCAAAGGGCATCGCTACTAGGGGCAAGGACGCTACTAGGGGCTCCTGGCATTGCTACTAGGAGCAAGGACGCTACTAGTTGCAAATGTGACGGCTGGCCGACATCGAGCGTCATCAGGAACAAGCCGGCCCCGCTCATGTTCACGTTCACATCATTCTAGGCCATCGGGAGATTTGTTTCTACTAGCTTCTTGCTACTATATTTTTTCTCAAACTTCAGACCCTTAGACCCTTCTCGTCCGTGTTCTCTTTTCTCTTTGCGTTCTTTCTTTATATAGACCTTACTGTTTTTCTTATATTTCTTGTTTTCTTGGTTTGTGTTTTTGTTTGGTCTTGCTTTTCCTTGTTTTTCTTTAGACTGGTCCGGCTTTGCTTCATGTCTGATTTGTTAATCAATCTTTGCTCTTTTTCTGTGAATTGTCAGGTCTTCTTTGCCGTCTTCCTTTTCTACTTTTTTGTCAGTGTTGCTATCCTGGTACTTGTTGACTGCAAACCCTCCAGCATAACCGATTTTTCAGGCTATCAATGCCTCACGACCAACGCCGTGCGCCAGCTGGCCTTTACCCCACTAACGGCAGAGCGATTGCAGGACTTGGTTCGGCACAGAGAGAGGGACTGACCTCGTCAGAGGTTTGCTCTCAGCTGTTGAGGGTTCGCAGGTCTGGACCAAAAAGGAGGCCCCCCCTCGACCAGATGCAGTTTTTCCTAATACATGGACCATGGAGCAACATTATTTGTTGAACAGCCAACGAAAGGCGGAGCATACCACCATATAACACCAAAACGCTCAAAAAGTCCCAGGTCCCCACACTTTTTTCCACCAGTGCTGCAAATGTTCCTTGTTTGGGGGCCCCTTCATTTGTCGCCCCAACGGAGGATCTAATGGAGTCTTTGAATGAAGGTTTCGTCTCGGCGGCCGAAGTGAAAGGCCTGGCGGACGGGAAAATCGGAGGGGGATGGAGATGGGAACATCGGGAAAAAGGCTGAACAAACTGAGGTGTTTTTTTTAAATATAGAGACCAGAACCATACCAGAACCTTGGACCTTGGATGACCTTGGGCCCGAAATGCCACCAGTGTGTTCCCTGAGCACTTGCCAAACGCGTGTGGAACATGGCTTTGGGGAACCTATTTCTGAATAGATCTACAGTCAGTAGATTTATGAAAATATGCAACCCCCATACAACCCCCTTCTTCTGGGGAACAATGCCCTCAGAAAGTGCTTGGATCTGAAGACAGCACCAAAAGTCTAGGAGATTGAAATCTCGTCGGCACCAACACAATGAAGCACACCCAAACTCTTCGGCACAAGATTCTTGAAGGTTTTGTGATTCAAAACCATTCAGAACTTGCACACATGCTGCAAACATTCTTGAAGGTGTTGTGATTCAAAACCATATTGCACACATGTTGCATAGCTTGCTTCATGTACCAAAAGCACCCACGCCCCCGCCGAAGTCTCCCAGCCGTGGCCTTCCGCGAAGGCGTCCTGCTTGAGGCGCAGCTCATCGGTGAGGGGCGGCAAGCCTTGCTTTGGGCACTGGGCTCATGGCGCCTGGGATAGTGATCGACCATTCAACGGACACATCGATCCAGCAATTGGTCTTGTAGCAAACACTTGGCAAAAGAATGCAAAAGAGGAGAACGGGCATGTTTCCAGAGTTTGACAAAACCTGCAGACTCACTGCAGACCCCTGAGAAATCAAAAAACACGTTGAACAAGTTTCATGAATTCCATCGACGAAGTAGCACACCCCAGGAGCTTCACCGTGAATCTTTCCCGGACCACCGAATGGAACCGAAGGGACATCGAGGTATGTGAACGTCCAGCGTGCTGAGACCCCATGGCTTCAGGTGCCTTTGTGCAGAGAAGTACGTGGGTGCATTTGGACTGGGGTGGTTGCTTGCTTGGATCAGGTAGATGTCAACTGCCAGTGTCAAAGAACTACCAGTAAAACTTCATATAGTTCTTGGGCAATACAACCACGACGATATCATCATCCCTAAGACTCCGAGCCCTCAATTGGAGAGGGTTTGGTTCGGGTCCGACCCCCGCCAACTGGAGGGGTCCCAGGAGTCTTAGGGCAGTGGTGAACTGGCAGACCCCCACATGAGGCCTTGCCGGAAAACGGAGCCTGGTGTCCAGTTTTGTATGGAGTTCATCGTTGTCCTAACTCCTAACCATTCCAAAAAATCATGTCGTTGGGTTTCTTGAAGAGTAGGTGTTCAGAGGCATACACACATCAGATGAAGGTTCTTAGACTGGCCACTCATGAAGGTGGAAGACTCAAGACATGTTGCTGAAGCAAGCGAGTAAAGGTTGACAAAGACCTTGAGGAGTACCTTGAGGCTTTGTGGACAGCCTTCTGACGGCGTTTCACACGACCCGCGCTGCTTCGCTGACGGCGACGTCTGGTGTCAGGTCTTGCGCGCAGCGGTGCGGCGGTGGATTCCTTCGGAGGAGGAACATCATGGTTGGATGCTGCATGACTTGGCACGGATGACCATGGAGCCTGAGCTGAGTCCTGAGCTGGCATGGTCCCAGAGAATGTGCGGGTCACCTTGTTTGGGGATTGGGGACACTCTACTAAATACGTTTGGTTCGCCTTTATTTTCCGAAGCTGAGGAATCAGCATTCGTCATTATATTGCTCGAAACATGGAAGGATTCCCCAATAGACCATCTATGACCATTGCCTTCATCTTTTGAATCCAAATGAAGTTTGAATCCACATAATCCATGTCACCAGCTGTTCTGGGAGCTTGGCTGATCCATCACCAGGATGTCCGAAGCTTTGGGTCATGAGACCGGGGAACCCGGTGGTTTGGAAGTTTGAAGCCCACCCCCCTTCATGGAGGCACAGGGTTTCTGAGTTTCCAGGTCGAGTTGTTGGAAGATCTAGATGACACCCACATTTTGGGGTGGACTTCAGAGATTTTGTTGCCACACCTCTTGTGTTGAGATGCCCAGAGCTATATTGAGGGTTGGTGAATGTTGTTGACTCTGGACTTGGAAATAGGCGGGGTGAAGCTCATATATATTCATTCATTCAAGGTAGGCAGGGTCGGTGATGAGGAATTATTTGATGTCATTCAGTTCACTCACTCCTTTTAGCTTGAGGCTCAAGCCAAAAAGGAGTGTCGCTCCGTGTGAATCAGAGTCGCTGATTCGCAAGATTCTTTTTGTGTGCGAGCCATGGCTGACGCAAGTGCTCGACGCGCGGTTGAGCAGGAGAAACTGAATACCTGGTGTGCCAGGATGGGGATTCAGAGCGCAAGCGATTTGGCTTTTTGGTTTACCTCCTACGAGGAAGCACTTCGTGAAGCCGGTCGCGCAGTGGCCGATGGGTGGGATCTCGCTCGCCGTGAGAGCGAACCGGGGATGGCAGCCCTGGTTCGGCACCTTTTTGCGAGAGAGACAGTTCGCCAGTCTCGCCCGCCACAACCATCCAGTGCTCCGGCTCCTTCATTGCCTTCGTCTTCGGTGGCCCGTCCGAAGCCGTCTTCGTTTGCGGGGCCTGTCAAGCCCAAGAAGAAGCCATCCCAGCAGGCTGAGGCGAAGGGCGGGGTCGCCGCTCTGTTTATTCGTGATCTGTTGGGTATTATGGTGACATTGATGCCTCCACCACCCGATCGACGAGACGAATACATGGCCAATTGGGCCTCACGCTTGGAGAAGCTATGTGCCCGTACCGAGGCGGCTACCATCAAGCGCGTGGTCCATACCTGGAAGGACTTGGTGCGCTATATGGACCATTTGGGGTTGAAGTTTCCTGACCCCCATACATTGGCCACCTTCTACCACTGGATTTGAGCGAAGCCTCCAAGCCGGCTCCTGTCCGGAGCACTCGGCTGGGACAGGGGCAGTCCCAGGCCGCCCCGCTGGAGCCGGGCATGGTGACCCATTTGTTGGGGGTCCTGGAGTACACGGCAGAGCACGCTCACTGGCCTATTTTGATGGCGGCTGCTGCCATGGTGTTTGGCCTTATTCGGTTTTGCCACGTGCAACGAAGTTACCTTATTGGTGCCAATTCTGCCATCATTATCTTCTGGTGCTTTAAGGGCAAGACCGGGACCCGAGATGGATTCACCTGGTCGATCCCTCGACATTTGGCCAGCCTCGACCTCTATGCCATTTGGAACCGCCAGTTGGACAAGGTCCGTCCACGCCATGGCGAGGGGTATCGACGTTGGCACTTCCTGGCCTTCGACTCGGACACTGGAGTCCCCGTATCAATTGGGCAATTCCTTCGAGTTGTACGACCCTATTTCGAGGGCGTCCTGGACGTGCAGAACCTTAGCTCGTACAGTTTCAGGCGGGTGGCGCCCCACCTTGGCAGGGATTGCGCGGCTCACAGACACCGAGCGCCTTGCTATTGGCCAATGGACAGACGCTGCGGGGGGCAGTTCCACAGCGCAGACTCCATTGCGGTATGACGCCCGCAAACAGAAGCAAGGCCATCAACTCCGGCTCGCTGCTGCCTTGTTCCTGGCCGGTGCCTCCGAGCTCCTTTGGGAAGAAATCAAGTCTACATCCGCTGCGGAGCGCTGGGCTGAAGCTATGATCGCTGCATTGCTGTCCGAGAACCCCCGGGTCGTGCGTGTTTCATCTGATGACATACCTGGAATGCCCACGCTGAAGTCATTCCCTATAGATCGGGCAAGACAATTTTTTGTCTCTAAAAAAATTAACTATTTAGATAATTGTTTAACAACTTTTTTTCGAAAGAAATAGTTAATTTTCTTTAACTATTTTTGAGACAATTCTGGGGGCAATTCAAAAAATTAACTTCTTTTTAAGGACAATTCTGGTGGCAATTCAAAAATTAACTTTTTTTTTCAGGACAATTCTTGGGGCAATTCTATAATTTGTAGTTTTAAAAGACAATTCTTGGTGTCATTTTTGTTTTAAATTTTTCTTTTTTCAGACACTGTTTGAAGTATTTCTTTGTTAAATACATTTTTTGAAACAGTTCCTGGGGCAATTCTGCTTGTTAAAGCTACTTTCTTGAGACAATTCTTTCTGTAAGTCTGAATTTCAACCTTTTTCTTTAGACAAACTATATCAATATTATAGAAAATGTGTTTGGTTGGCCTGCTTTCTGCTTGCAATAATCCTACACATCTCCATCCAGAACCTTCAAAATGTGACCCAACTTGGTCCAAAAAGAGCAATAATCCTACAACATTGTGCAATAATCCTACCGAAGTATAAATTGGAGTAGTTGAGTCTTTTTAGTCTTTCAATCATTGCAACAATTCAAAAGCTATCAGCCAGTGGTCCATGAGCTTAGCTCCAGCCATCAAAGGTGGTGTTCCAGCTGCACAATTTTGTGCCATGTGCCGGACCACCCCCATGAAATCTTCTTGAGAATAGCACCAGGTCATCCTGGGGTTCAAGGCCCCACTATTCTCAGTCAGGTGCTGCAGCATGTGCATCTTAGATGTCACTTGGAAAATTGGGGGCACATCTTCTTGTGCAAAATGTCGCCACACATGCAAATTCAAATGCGCCATTTGGCAGCATGCGTGGTGAAATGCCTTTGCATCATTTGGAGTGAAAGCCAGGTCTTCTTTGGGCTTTCCCTTGCTCTTGGGCTTGGGCTTTGCTTTGGGACCAGGTTTCTTTTCATGTTCCTTCTTCTCCTTTGTCTCCTTCTTCGACTTCTCTTCTGTTTCCTTCTTCTTGTCCTTTGTCTCCTTGCTCTTCTCTTCAGTTTTCTTCTTCTTGTCCTTTGTTTCCTTAGTCTTCTCCTCTTTTTCCTTCTTCTTGTCCTTTGTCTCCTTGGTCTTCTCTTCTTTTTCTTCCTTCTTATCCTTTTTCTCTTTGGTCAACTTCTCTTCCTTTGCCTTCTTCTTGCCCTTTGCCTCCTTGGTCACCTTCTCATCTCCTTCCTCCTCTTTGTCAGAGGCATCTGGCTTTCCATCATCCTCCAAGGCCAAACGCCCTGTTTCTTCACTTTGTGCTGGCTTCTTTCTAGGCTGAGGCATGGCACTGTATGGTATTTTGCTCTTGCTTGAGCAAGTATTGCTGTTGGAGGATCTAAGCTTCCAATAATCCTAACCTCAAAAACTCTGCCAGAAGCAATCCTAGAAGTTTACACCAAAACCAGTAATCCTAGAAGTTGCAAAAATAATCCTAGACCAAAAAATCCACAAACTTCAACTGCAAAGAGACAGCTGTCTTTGGAACAGAAACTTTGGTCCATACAATATTGCCTTTTGTTTAATAAATACAATAATTCAATCTATATTTGTATTCATTTTTTTTTACAGCTTCCTGGTTATTGCTTCATCGGTTGTTTCTGCTTTTTGGTCTTTGCCAAGTGCTCAGTCCAAGGGAGCCACATTACATGCAAGAAAGCCAAGCATCCTAGAAAAAGAACAGTAATCTTAACCAACAACCCTGAGGACAAAGACTTGGCAAAACAAGACCAAAACAAGACACAACACTGGAGAAATAATCCTACCCAAGCAAGAAAATAATCCTAAAACCCAGGAGAAACCTGTCAAGTAATCCTATGAAATTAGTAATCCTAGCCCAAAGAAACATGCTTTAATGCTAAATGAAATTTATAATCCTATCAAAAACACAAAAAAACAAAATAATTGAATTAAACATGACCAAAAATTGGTCAGAAGTATTGAAAAACCCATACTTTCCCAGTAGAAAAATGAACAAATTCTGGTCAGAAAACATTAAACAAATCAAAAAATCTTTGAAAATCCATAATTTTCAATAGAAAAATACATATTTTTATAGTATTTTTGGGTAAACAATTGAAAGTTTGTTGAAAGTTTGGTGCAAACTTTCAGTGAAACTTTCACCCTGGAATGTCAAACTTTCAGTGAAAGTTTCACCCTGGAATGTCAAACTTTCAATGCAAACTTTCAATGTAGAAAGTCTTTCTAATTAATCTTAAATTATATTTATTATTTAATAAACATTCATTGAAAGTTTGCATTGAAAGTTTGACATTCCAGGGTGAAACTTTC